CCCAGGACGGAAGTCTTCCACGTTGGCCCTTTGCACCGCTGGTGGTGCACATGACCCTTAAGTAAGTAAGTAAGTAAGTAAGTAAGTAAGTAAGTAAGTAAGTAAGTAAGTAAATCTCATCCGAGCGGGATCCAAAAAAAGCTAATTGAGCCATGCGTTTTGCATTGAGCCGATATAGATTTTGTGTGGTTTCACCAGTTTAAGGGGGGAAATACAAGTAACACGTCAAAAAATCGACGATTTTCGGATTTTTTTGTGAGCAAATGAAACAACGCCTCTCTGACGGAACACTTGATAAATCGCCTCGAGCAATGGGGTATACATGGGGATATTTACAATATTTTTTCTCCCATGCTTGAAAAGGATCGACAGAACGTGGGAAAACAGGCTGATGCAAGAACATTTTGTTATTCTGCCGATATGCCCCTATGACGATTCTCGTTCTTGTCTATTGAACTGTCACACTGGTTGTTTGCAGAATTTATGTTCAAGGCAAGTGATGTGCAAAGGTGAAGACAAAAAAATCAATATTGAATTGCAAATGCAAATGCACTGATTTTTTTTTTGATCGGTACAAAAATCGAATGAAAAGGATCGATCTAGTCGATTTTTGTCGTGTTTGAGATCGATTAAAAAAAATGGATTAATCGAACCAAAAGAATCGATCTTTTGTGTTTCGATCCTATATCGCCCATTACTAGTTGGTCCCCGGTCCATGAGTTGATGGGTCGATAGGTAGCGTCCTGGTGTGGGAGCTGCCTTCCTGGCGTCGGTAGCATTGGTGCTCAGCACGGAAACAAGGTCAACGGAAACACATCAAGAAGAAAATTCTTATATTTCTTTCGACGTACACTAAGAACTTGCAAGAGACATTGTATATCAAATTGAACGATTTCATGCATTGTAAATCCAATTTTACTTTACATGATGTATAATCTAAACGTGCATGATTTATAACGCTCCATTTATGTGCATCGTGAGCATAAGCATGAGCATGATTGACCACCCACGGCTGCTACTCTGTTATTGCCAGATCAGCTGTAATTACGCAGAGAACCAATAGACGATGCTTGGGGCTAGCAATCATCATCGATGTGCAAAAACTGGTGACCATAAATTTGGCAATACCAGTGCCGGCCGCGCCTGAACGTAGGTCAAGAAAGGAGTGGGTAGGAATGTGTTGACGTGACACTCGCTTTCATGGAAGCCGAGGTGTCCTCTGCACTTTCACGAAGAATCACTAGGATTTTGGGTAAGAGGATTGGGTTTGGAGACTGGTTCGTTTTGGTAAACGATTCAGCTTATGTCCTAACGATCCCATAACGCAAAGGAGCTTGGGATTGAACCAAGGTCTTCTGCTCAGTAAGCAAAAACGTTTTCCACTAGGCAAAAGAACTCCTTTTAATCATCGAGTTGCTGTTATTACCATGTAGTCATATTATAAAATAAAACGAATGACTTTGATTAGACTCATGATGTTTTGCTCAGTAAGCAAAAACGGTCGCTCTGAGACCACCGAGCACCTTTTATCACATAATACCGTTACTCCATTTGTTGTAACTATTGAAAACCGGCACCGATGATGACGACAAGTTTCGCAAAATACACGATAAACAAGCGATTTGACCATAAATCTCTTTAATATGAATGGACCTCCCAAGTAACAATCTAAATGCTTGGAAGATTTATTCTTATTTTATCATTGTTTTATCATAGCATCCCTTCCAGCCTGTGGTTGTATTACGGTTTTGTGTGCTTGTCATAAAATCAGGCCGTCAAGTCGTCTATAAAACTGTTTTATGACTACTAAATTAAAACTCAGACTTCATAGTTTTAACGGTAGCTGTAAGGTGGTTATAACTGAAGAATAAAACCAAAACAAAACATCCAATTATGTTTTATGGTACACTTTTTATGACCGATATAAAACTTGAAGCAGTCTTAGACCTTCATTAAAGCTTCATTACAACTATCATCTTTATCAGAGGCCTAAGATTCACAGATAAGAAATATACTGCTACAACAATAAATACTCTGAAATGTTTTGTCATTATAAAAAAACAAATCTATTCAGATATATGAAATGAAAACCCCTTCAGTGCTTCTGAACACGATGAAGACGAGACGATCGACAATATGAAACTCCTGGAGGAACTACAGTTATACGATCCCTACATAAGGCACAGTGCGGTGAAGGAGCTCTTAAAAATATTGAACAAGCGGCTTTCCGATACACTTCCGAAAGATCCACGAACCCTTCTTAAAGCAACGCCGACAGTTTCACTAAATCCGTTTGGAGATGGCCAGTATTGACATCACGGCTTTAAACCTTGTATTGAAAAAGCTTTTAGTGGATCCAATAAGCATTTCTTACATCTTGATTACAAGCGAAAATAGGAGGATCGCTTGGAATGTTGACTTTTTGACAGGTGGTCATGGTTTTTGTTTTGTTTTGATTCGCTGTACCGAATAAAACCAGCAAGCTAGTTATATAGCTTAAATATAACTTAACGCTCTCAATTTGGACTACGAAATGCTAAGATACAACCATTAGGTTTATGTTATGCTATAGAATTCCAATCTAGGAGAATATGTTATATTGAGGTATTTTTAAGGAGTAGGAAGTTATAACGAAAAAAAATGTCGCCGTATGAACAAATTTCACACAGTATGAATAATTACGCTTTAATTGATAGGCAATAAAACACTTTCATACATCTATGTATAATTAAATAAAATGTGACTGGTTATTGCTCAACAGTAGTAACAGTTTTGTACTAAATAGATAATCTTTGAATGACTCTTTAATGCATGGTGCTAATGCATACAAATTAAAAATATCCCTATATTTTAGTATTCATATGGCGCACTAAATTTATGCTCCTATTTGGTATAATAATCACCATAAATATTGCACGGCATGCTGTGAAGCATATACAGATTGGTTTAAAATTATAATAAAGTCGTCTTATTTTCAATGTACAATAATATCAGCCATTATTACCAACTGACAAGGATCATGATTTCACATCAAACATCGAAAGAATAAAACCACAATAAGATATTTCTCAATATTAACTATCATCCAAAAACCCCAACTTAAAACCTTCAAAGTTGTCAAAATGTTTTGCGTATCATGTTTTATCAACTTCTTCAGGAGCGATTTATGCGGTTGTAATATAGTTTTATGGTAGTCATTAGAAGGCTGTTAAAACTTTCTGACCTGGAGGAGGTTTTATGTTTTCATTTTTAACAATCACGTCTAGAGTGTGATAAAACTGACATAAATCCTATGCTCCTAAAGTAGTTCGCATATCAAGTTTTAATGACTGCATTAAAACTGGGCCAATTGGCCATGACATGGCTGTATTGCGGTTCTCAGGAGATTGTTAAAGCAATGTGGTCGTCAGTGAAGGTTTTATAATTTGGTTATATCAACTGCTATAAAACTTAAATAAAACAAAAATTGTTGCTTGGGCTGGGACCACGTATTCTGCTCATTTGCAAGCCAATGCAACCAATGATCTTTCAAATCAGAAAATTAAAGGCTACGAAAAAGCACTTGGACCTTCATTAATATTCACTTTCACGCGTCGTTTAATGTTTCAATTTGCTCTTTACGCATTGTTCAGAATATCATAACAACCTATGACCAAAGTGACGATTGTTTAAGCCCTGTTTAAACAAGCTGTTCAAATGAAATTGCGTTCTCGAAAGCAGTCAATAATGTATCCTAAACTGGATCAAGCGTGCGCCCTATTTTTTCTAAACATTTCGAAACGTTCCACCCAATATCTATCAGCTACGATTTTCTAAAATAGTTGTCTGGAATAAATCGTAATGTGTTTTCCCCCTACAAGACTCAACTATATTCTTGCACTCGGGTGCACACCTTACCGACAGTATAGCTTTTCTTATGTTCTAACTAATACCGCAAAATAGATCACGCGCAATCGAGGCTATCCCTACAGGAAACAAACGGATTATTTTTAACTGGGACAAGCTCACCAAATACAATCACCTTAAACAAACTTGGCAAAAAATTTCAGAATTTGTACATACTTAGTTATGTTAATCCTTAAACTTAATGATAAAAAAGAAAATTAGTCGATTTAATTGATTCCTTGCGGCTAATGGTCATTTGAATGTTTACCGACTTTTACATCAATTCAAAAACCTAGCAAAAAATACTAACTCCTGTAACAGAATCTAAGTGTGTTGCTTGTAAGCACAAATAATGTAAAGCTCAAAGTTCTAGATCCGGGAATTGTGTACAATTTAAATTTATCGACAGTTTACCGACTATACAAACATGACAACGATTAAAATCCCATGAAAAATCCATACATCACTGTCGAAATGTCGGGAAACAGATCAAAGCAATCGTTTGTGTTCATACTAAGATCTGCATTGCAAAATATAGCCTGGAAATGTTCGCTAAACCGTATGTGACGCTGATCTTCTGACCTTATATAAGTTTGTCTAAGTGTAGGTATATCAACCTCAACTGCTCACTGCCCATTACCTCAACCAAATCGTTTTCCAAATCAAACTAATCTCACGACTAACCTTCCACGACAATCCGATCCATCAGATTACAAACTAAATCGACACAAATCATAATGTGTAGAAATGCTTACCACCGCAGCAATCAGCATCCATCAGATGGCTTGCGTGCACGAGCCATCCATTCAAAAATAAGCAGCAAGCATATGTCTCTTCCGCCGATAAATCAGACCCGCCTTTATAGTCTACCTTGAATTACCACATTTGTGCGGGTAATTGCATTCTCCCATAGTCTGTCCAATATATTCAGAGATGACGATGTCGATGATGCAATCGCTCCACTTTCAATAGATGTCCAACGACTATTCATCAACGAACTCTCTGCGCGACTATAGTCGCCAAATCCATTGTTTGTCTCACCCAGTCATATGCCATCCATCGGTTCTACTGCTCTAGTAAACCTCCCAATTTACCGAACGATGCGACGTTTAATCATGATCCTGGTTTTCATCTTCTTTCAACCGAACTCGACAACATCAGGTATGTACGTAGGAGCGCTACTTCTTGACAACGAAATTGGACAGTGGATTTTTCCGGCAGTCACCCTATTATCCTCTGTTAGCAGAAAATCGAATCGTTGGTGGAATCGGTATCGCCCCTGGTGAAATTCCTTTCATTTGTTCCATCCGTCAGCGCATGCCGTCAGCCAATTCGTGGAGCTGGTGGACATACACCCACCAGTGTGGAGGAACGGTTGTAAACGGAAACTGGCTACTAACTTCCGCTCATTGCATTTTCGGAAAAGATATCGCCAGTTTATTGGTTGTTTGTGGCTACCGACAGGGCCAAACCATCGAACGGGTAGCTCTCAAGCCGGATTACGTTCACGGGCGGAGAGGAAACGACTTGGCGTTGGTTTGTGTGCCTAGCGGAAAGGGGCAGAATATTGGATTGATGGACTGATTGTGTTTGTTGTTCTTTTTTCACTTCTAGGTATTACTCAAGAGCGCGTTGGTTTTTAGTGAAACTGTTCAACCCATCCCCATTTTCGATCAACGCATTCTTTCATCCAATGTGGCAACGATTGTCGGCTATGGATTATCATCGTACGGCACAGAATGCTGTCAATCGAATGGATTACAGGTACGAACACTGTTAACACAGACAAACAGACGCAACTTTTCGAATAAACTGCTTCTTGTTATTCGAGGGTTTAACGCGCTTGCATGAGGTAAGGTGACTCGCTGTCACTATAGTGAGGTGACAATAGTCACCGCAAGTGAGGTGACTCTCCATTTGATTTACACGGAGAGTAGCTTCACTCGCGGTGACTTTTGTCCAAGGTTGCAAAGACTCATTTCAGCTAAAATAATGTTTTTCGGAATAATAAAACCAAAAGATGGTATGATGCCATGTTTTACTTGTAACTTACAAGAACAGGTTACAAAGTATGCGTTGGAAACATAAAACCTGTAAATTTTGCTTTCTATGAGTCACAATCAGCGATTTGCTGAACGCTGAGTGAGTGAGTGAGTGAGTGAGTGAGTTTGTGAAAAATCGCTGATTGTGACTCTCATGAAGTGAAATAAACAGGTTTAATATGTCAAACACATTCTTTGCAACCGCTTCTTGTATCCTACCAATTCAAAAATTGATCATGGCATCTAATTATTTCATAATTTAGAAAAACATTGTTTTAGCTGAAATGAGTCTTTGCAACCTTGCTTTTGTCACTTCACTAGTGACAGCGAGTCACCTCACCTCACTCGCGGCGCAGAATAGGAGGGAGTGTTCTCCTCTGGGCGGCCACTCATATTAACTTCCCAGTTTTTTCCAGGTTCATATAAACAGCTTAATATGTTTAAAATACAATACCAGTATGATTTATTCCAGCAATTGATATCACGTTGATATGGATAAATGTTTCAGCATTTTATTATAAATGCGGCAAACTGGAGGAACAACAAAATCAATTTTCAGAATTTGGAAAATTTACCAGGCAGATCGCAACAATTTTTCAATTTACGCTTTGAAATTTATGTAAGAAGCATGTAAATAATTCGAAAACAGAATTGAGTGTACTCGGACTAGGATTTTTTTTTTCAAAATTAAGAATTTTCGCATTCCTCAATTTAGCGAGATTTTTAACTTCAAATATTACTTATTTTGAAGATCTCAGATTTTAACAACAAACCATGGCTCTTGATTGGTATGAATATAATGAGAAGAGAATGCCAGATGGATTTTGTTGCAAAGGTATCCCAAAATGAGTTCCTTCCTATGAAGTAATTCAGTGAATCAACCATTGAACATTTTCAAGACTCCGTGCACAGGAATTCAAGATTAAGGACTATCATTTTTTAGTAGTCGGGACTATGATTGAAAACAAATTTTAAGAACCTGGTCTTAGACAACTGTTCAAGAATAATGAGCAAGAAATTTCAGAAAAGTGTAACAGTAAGGTTTGTGAGATCTCAAGCTTGGAAAAATTATCTACGAGCGTGCATTGAATGTTCCAGAAATGGAGACATTTTCTAAACATGTTAACATGACATGTTATATTTTTATGGTTCTAATTTTTTTTAAGGTTCTAATATTTTTAAGGTTCTAGATTCTCTGAGCATCCAGTGGACAGCTGGCGTAAGAAAGCAAATAACAGACACGTGTAGAGTGAAGCTTGACGCGTCGGTAGTGGGAAGCAGCAAACGATTCAAGCTCGGCGAAGCGTACACCGCGGAGGATCTAGGCCTACCCGAACAGTCATTAAATTTCGACGCGTGGCGTTCGACGCGACCCGTGGTTTCCTGCCAACGCTCAAGCTTCTTTAGGGTCGAATAAACGAGCCAACCGCAACGAAAACCCATATTGGATGGGCTATCTATGGGTGCCAACGTGTACCACCTGAGGCCGTTCTGCAGTATCGCCAAACAGCGGGCCCGTAAGATCCTGCAAGAAACGACTCAACGCACAACCAGCGGCAATTCAAGACAGGAGAAGCAGAGAAGCGATTGAAGTGTTTATAGAAGCGGTTGTCAAAAGATCCGTAGCTGTATAACAACGTTCGTCAACAATTATTGTACTGCTAAAAGAAGGTATACGTAGAACCTGGTACTTGCCTCTTGGTGTAGTACTACATTCTAGAAAACCGGGAAAAGTTAGTGTAATCTGAGACGCTGCAGCGAAGGTAGACGGCATTTCGCTGAACACAAGGGCCCAGATATTTTGACATCTCTACTTGGTGTGCCGTTCCGATACCGCGAACGTGAGGTGGCCATTTCAGGAAACATCAAAGAAATGTTACACCACCTAATCCGGGAGGAAGACCGTTGTGCTTTGTTGTTCCTGTGGAGAAACTACCCAGATATGCCGATCCAAGTCATGTTGATGAATGTTGCAATCTTTGGTGCATCATGTTCCCCAGCACAATCTCTGTTCGTAATGAACTTAAACCACCGACAAACCTGACTTACGCCCGAAAATCGTAAACGTCCGATTTAAATGTTGCAGTGATCCAAACTGTCAAAACCATATGATTTTTTGATCTAGATAAAAATAATTTATCCAGAATAGATCAGACACGAACCAAGTCATAAGTTTTGCATGTGAGTTCATGGCTTAGCTAAATATTTCCCACGAACACGGAGCCAGATGTCAGTAGTGTGCATTGGTCAGAAATTTTATTGTTTTTGCTATGGTCATTCATGTCGGTTTTTCGGTGCTTAAACGCTACGGAAAACGAAGTCGAACACCCAAGGGCGGCAGCCGCGATTAAACGCAATCACCACTTGGACGACTACCTTGACAGTCTGGATACGGAAGGTGAAGCAATCGAAATGGCGTTGGAGTTGGCAGAGGTCCACTCAAAGGCTAGTTTCCAAATAAGGAATTGGCACAGCCGTTTTGTGCTCGACAAAATCGGCGAAGTGATTTCCAGTTCGGTTAAGTGTTTCGCAGCATACAAAAATACAGGGAAGGAAAAAATTCTGGGATTGGTTTGGTTTCTAGACGAGGATGTATTTTCGTTTTCTCTATGCTTCCGAGACGAACTACAGAAACTAGTAGCAGGAAAAGTCGTTCCCACTAAACGGAAAATGCTTAGAGTACCGATAAGCGTCTACGACCCTATAGGCACCAAGGCAGCTTTCGTTATTCATGGAAAGGTCCAAGATAGACTGGGATGATAAAGTTCCCTGGAAAATTTACTGTCGTTGGAAACAGTGGCTTGCTGTACTCTGGAAGATGAACACTATCAAAGCCACTCGTTGCTATTTCCCAGTTCCAATTGCTACAGATCCCTGGAGCTCCACATTTTCGTTGATGCTAGTGAACAAACCTACGTCACGTTAGATGTTCCTTGGTATCCCCAAAAACGAAGGTCACATCACTTCAATATCTATCTATACCTATTGGGCTGAGCTAGCAGGTTAAATAATAACAATAATAATGGTTTGATAATAAAAGTAAACTGATTTATTCAACACATGTGTACAGTACGAGAGAAGAAACGATAATCAGCAAAATGGGCGATCGCAGTAGACGGTGCGAAAAGCGTCTCTCATTTTAATGTCGTTTTCGTTTTTGCGGTGTAGCACTGGTGTAGTGTAAGCAGGAATAAGCGCGAGTCTTTGACAGCTCAACATTATTTGTTTGTAAACAAAGGTGCATCCTATATCTACACCCTAAAATATTTCGGTGTACGGCAGTGTAGCACCGGTGTAGCTACACCACAAAAACTAAAACGACATGTAAGTTGTGCTTTCGCTATGACAGCACGCAAACAAGCTTTGCGCTGCTGGGTTCGGCCGTTTGGGGGTTCGGCAATTGTTGCCTCCCATCCAATAATACCGTGCTTGGAGCTGCTGGCGGTGGTACTTGGAGCTCGTCTGAGGAAAACGATCGAGGAGAAGCATGCGTTAAAGATTCAACGTACCTGTTTTTGGAGTGGTTCATCGACAGTCAACACCTGGATTAAGTCGGACGCACGCAACTACCGGCAAATCGTTGCGTTTCGGGTCAACGAGATTCTCAGCTCATCGTCGGTAGAAGAATACCGGTGCATACCAACGAAGCTCAAAGTGGCCGATGAAGCCACAAAGTGGGGAAAAGGACCATCCTTCGACCCTGACAGCCGATTGTTCCGTGGACCTTAGTCCCTATACGACAACGAGCAAGAATGGATTGACACGACGAAATCGAACCGACAACCGTGTAACTTCGTCCTGCCTTTGTTAGCAAGCATCTTGTCATTGAACCGATGGTGAACGTCGCTAATACGAAGTGTGCATACGTTCTGCGATACATCGACAACCGAATGCGGTTGTATAAAAAAAACTCCATTGCAGCTGAAGGAATTGTCACGGGACGAGTTGCAGAAAGCTGAACAGTGTTTTTGAGGGATGGCACAGTCCGACGGATTCTTAGATGAAGTTGCAGTGTTGAAGCCCAATCTTATGTCAGTTCCTGTAAAATGTCGTCTCCTGGATCGAACCAGCTCGCTTGCTAAACTCATTCCAACGAACTCCGTGTTGACGGTCGCATCCAAGCAGCTGACTTTATTAATCACGATGCCAGAAACCCAATTATCTTACCGCGAGAAAGTCGTATCACTAAACTGTTGTTGGATTCGTATCACCGAAAGTTTAAACATGCGAACCACGAGCCGGTGTTAAATGAGATCAGGCAGAAGTTCTGTATGCCGAAGCAGAGGATGCTGGGCGTCAAGTGAGGAAACAGTGTATGTACAAAGCTGTTCCGGTTTTGTACCTAGATCTCTTCCAAAAGCCAGATTAATGCCATTCTGTCGTCCGTTTAGCATGATTGGAATTGATTAATTCGGGCCATACACGTGTACAATATTGCGTCGACCAGTAAAGCGGTTGGTCGTTCTCTTCACGTGCTTGACTATCAGAGATAGCAGCCATCTTGTCGACGGATTCGTGCAAGAAGGAGATTCGACAGTTTGTAGCCCGTAGAGATGCTCCATGTGAAATCTACACGGACAATGGGACCAATTTTGTGGGAGTAAACAAAGAACTAACTGAGGAAATACGAACGATCAATCAGGAGCTAAGCAGCATGTTCACCAAGACAAACACACAATGAAGATTCAATCCACCTGCGGCACCACATATGGGGGGATGCTG